AAACCCTAAACCCTAAACAGTAGCTCATATTTTGAGTCGAAGCTGGGATTTCTTGGCACTCAGAAGGTCCTTGGGCTTTCTGGGAAGGCTTGGGTTTCCAGATTCCTTCATTAAAGTGGGCCAAGGGTTTAGGGTTTTATTTATTTTGTTGTTGTTGCAATGGCTTTTAGGGTTTAGGGTATAGGTTGGGTACTGCCCCGACCCTGTAACAGTCTATGTTCTGGATCACAGTAGATATTATCCAACTGTTAGAGAGTGGGGTCTAATCCGCATCCCAAATACTTACTCTCTAGCCCCTGAGAGTACAAAGCAAAACCCAATGATTGTTGACTGAAGACCCTTTTTGCCTTTTTTCTGCCTGTTCTCAACCATTTTCCGCTTCAGAGATACGAACGCTTGCAAGCTGGAGCCCTAAATCCCAGGAGGTTTAGGGTTTTAAGGGTTAAGGGTTTAGGGTTTTAAGGGTAAAGGGTTTACGGTTAAGGGGGTAAACCTGAAGCACTACCTTGACCCTGGGTGTCCTACCCTTTTGGTGATATGCCCCTACAAGAACGTAGGACAGAATACTTAAAAGGAATGGCGTCCAGGGGCCAGGTAAACTTCAAGCCCTAAACCCTAAATCCTAACTAGTAGTTTCCAGTTTTTTTCCATTCTCCTTATAGTACCCCCAGGTAACCCTAAACCCTAAACCCTAAACTCTAACCTTATGCCCCAAAAGCAGCCATGAACCTCGAACCCTCCGTCGCACCGGGCCTTGACGCAGATGTTGTCCGTGGCCAAGTCGTTCTGCGTGCAAATGAAGCTGGCATAGTTCTCATAGCCAGTCATCTGCACCGGTTCCTAGTTCGGTAGCGGTTGTTTGGTGGTTGAACCTAATAAGATTATGTTCTTTATATGAAATATCCTACCCAGAAGGAGGCTATAATCTGACTCTATATTGAGCACCATAATATTGTTCACGGACATCAGTCGGTCAGTATTCACGGACGTCAGTCCGTCACATGAACAAAGCATCACCAAGAAAATATTACTCACTTGAGTTTAGGGCTTGGGGTATTGGGCACCGGTATCAGGGATCAAGCACAACATGCTGATTTGGTAGCTGCCAGAAATAGAGCAGGGCCGCAGTATTAGGTGCCGTAATATAATCTATAACCAAAAGAGGCCCATAATTTTGAGAACAACCCATAGAGGGATCCTTTGGAGCGAGGACTTCCCAAAATAAAAATTCACCTTCGGAGAGCTTTTTGCACAAGGGGTGTAGGGTTTAGGGTTTAGGTAACGACTTAAAGTCTAGACTAGAATGTACCTAATTTTGGGAACTACCCACATAACCCTTCTGTGTGAGCTCCTATATCTGCGAAAATGGGCTTAGAGTTTATTGCTTGTGGGCTATGTCCTGATGAAAATGCACTTGGAAGGAGTTGATGGTTTTGTAGGGGGGGATGAAACCAGGGTGTTGACATTCAGGGTGGTGATGTTGAGACTAAGGTCAAAGTCCAGGGTTAAAGGCTTAGGGTTTAGGGTTGAGATTCGGGTCAAGGTTTCAAGGTCTAGTGCTTAGGGTTGAGATTCGGGTCAAGGGTTAAAGGTTTAGTGGTTGAGATCTGGGCTAGAGAATGCCATCAGCAGAATATGTAGTGCGCCCCTTGGTGGTGTTTTGCACAGCCATCTGTGAGCGTACGAGCTTTACCCAGAACCCTGAACCCTAAAACCCTAAAACCCTAAGCCCTCCTAAACCCTAAATCCTAAAACCCTAAAACCCTAAACTGGAGATAGTCCATATCATTCCAGAACCGACTGAAGGCCTGGTGTAGGTGGGTATGGTACCCCTAAAGTAGATAGAATATGGCTTTGGGTATATTCTACTAAGATCCCCATATACCCCATATTCTATCTACTTAAGGGGGACTGTAGTCTTAGAGTTTAGGATTTAGGGGGCTTTCGTCTCCAAGAAGTCGTGTATACACGGGTTTAATAAGATGCCAAGGTCTTTTGGGAGTCACCTGTGATGGGCCTCTCCCGATCAGCTGAACTGAGTAAGACCCCTAGTTGCTGAATTCCTTACAGTTGCTTGGGAAGCATGGTCCTAATTAGGGTTTAGGGTTTAAGGTTTTAGGGTTTGGGTTTTTGGGGGTTTAGGGGTTTAGGGCTCCCATATAATCCCTATATTCCCGCTATATTACTATATTACCCCTCTACTACCCCTACAGGGTCCTTAAAAGGAGGGAGTTTATGAATCATGAGTCTACATTAGGGTTTAGGGCGGCCTCTTCCCGCTGCCTTCCCCAAACGATCATGGCAAACCCCTGCAGGCCCCTCTTTAAACAACAAGTTGTGACAATGGCTTCGGGGTAGGGTTTAGGGCTTAGGGTTGATGAGAATGTGTAGGGCCCCTTTGAGCATGCATTTTTTCATTGGGGAAGCTTATCATGTATTGGCAATCCGGATGCATTATCCCCCTATATCCTGCATTTAGTCACTGAGCCCCAAACTCCCTAAACCCTAAACCCCAGACTCCCTAAACCCTAAACCCTAAACCTCAAACCCTAAACCCCAAACCCTAAACCCCAAACCCGAAACCCCAAACTCCCTAAACCCCAAACCCTAAACCCTAAACCCTAAGCCCTAAATTCTGTCCTTGTCCATATCCATGACGTAGGGCCACGGCGTAGCCAAGTCGATGAGATCACCCGAAGCCTCGAAGGTGTAGCCATGGAAAGCAAATGCGACGATGGCCACAGTGCCTAGGTCAGGGTTTAGGGTTTTAGGGTTTAGGGCTTAGGGGTTTTGTGGTTTAGGATTTAGGGTTTAGGGCTTACGGGTTTTAAGGTTTAGGGTTTAGGGGTTTAGGGTTCACTTACTGGGTGAGAGTAGGGAATAAGGGAGTATACTCCCTATATAACCCCGATGTACTATATTTCCACATTCCCTACTAAGAACAAGTAAGTTTAGGGGTTTAGGGTTGCTCAGGAGACTTTGTAAATTGGTTACTATACACTGCCAACCCCAAGTAGCTAAACCTTAGACCCCAAACCCTAAGCCCTAAAACCTAAGCCCTAAACCCTATTTTTGAAGACTCCTCAGCCTTCAAATTGCTTATGCCCCCCACCCATCATGAGATCCCTCAACCCCTCCTACAAGTGGCTCTCCCAAAACCTCCCTTATCTACAACAGAAAGGAATCCGTGAGGGTACCCTTTTTGGGGGAAGGTTGAGGAACCCTACCAATCCACTTGCAGAGGAAGAACGGGTCCATAAACCCTCAACCCTAAACCTAAAAATCATACATCCTAACCCCGAAACTCTTAACCCCCTAAACCCAAAACCTTAAACTCATAAACCCTAACCCCTAAACTCTTAACCCCCTAAACCCAAAACCTTAAACTCATAAACCCTAACCCCTAAATCCTTAACCCCCTAAACCCTAAACCCAAAACCTTAAACTCATAAACCCTAACCCCTAAACCCTTAACCCCCTAAACCCTAAACCCAAAACCTTAAACTCATAAACCCTAAACCCTAAACCCTGACGTCTATTGCGAGCCTTGACTCGCTTCTCTATCACACTGAGAAGACTACTGCAAAGTTGTTGTGGTTGGTACTGGGGTTAGGGTTTAGGGTTTACGGTTTGGGGTTTAGGCTTTGGGGTGGTTGTTGCTAGGGGGTGTTGTCGCAGTTGTGCCTTAAACACTGAACCCTAAACCCCAAACCCTAAAACCTGTAATCCCAGACAGCCGAGGTGCCCAAAGCCAATGCGCCTACCTCAGCCAGGTTGGGGGGCTCCAAGCAGGGGAAGATGGATAGAAGGGATTATATAAGGTTAAGGGTTAAGGGTTTAGGGTGAAGGGTTTATCCCCAATGATGGAGAATCAAATCAAAAAATGCAATTCACATGGGCGGAGGGTTTTTTTGGGTCTATGAAACGTAGAGGCTATGTTGCCGTGTATATGTGTCCGCGCTCCGCACTTCCAACCCCCCCCAACATGTGTTTCCCCAGCTGGTTAAGGCAATAGATATACAAACCCCAAGAGTCACGAACTCTTTGTGCCCCTTTTCATCAACCCTCTGTGCGCCCTAAACCCTAAACCCTTAAATCCTAAACCCTAAACCCTTAAATCCTAAACCCTAAACCCTAAACCCTAAGCCATAAACCCTAAACTTCCCCCAACAACCACCTCCAGAGAATTTGTGTTCCCCTCAGCCGCAGGGTGAAAGGTTTAGGGTTCAAGGTTTAGGGTGTAGGGTCTAGGATTTAGGGTTTATGGTATAGGGTT